TGTGTGTGTGTGTGTGTGTGTGTGTGTGTGTGTGTGTGTGTGTGTGTGTGTTTTCAGTCATTTGATCAATTAATATGATAAAAAAGAGGTATTGTGTAAAAAAAATGTTACCACTGACTCCAATAGACTTTTGGCATTTTTATTTTTATGAGTACTTCATACATGTGAATCCAAAATACTAACAACTAGTTGCAAGAAGAGTGTTTTATTTTGACTGCTGTGGCCCACTTCATAGGTGTTTCTGGATTTTGTTTGGTTTGGTTTATTTTGGTTTGGTTTGGTTTGGTTTGGTTTGGTTTGTTTTGGTTTAGTTTGGTTTGGTTTGGTTTATTTTATTTATTGGCACTCACAAAAGAGAGAAAAGAAAGAAAAAAACTTTAAAACATAAGACAATACAAAGATAAAACAAAATGTGCATTTCTGTGTTTTAAAAACATTTTCTGATGTTTTTTTTTTTCTGGACTGCAACTCAGGCAGGAAACAAATTGTACCTGCAGTCATATTTTTTTCTTTATTTCCTTTTACTTTTTAATAAATCCTCACAAAACTCAGCTGACTCGTTGAATTCACCATTGTACCAGAAAATCCATCACTGTCCGTTTTAACCCCCCAGTTGAACCTAAATGAAACTGTAATCCTCTGTGTTAGCAGAACCTGGCAGGTTAGAGAAATCACTGTTAGAACAGGCAGAATCTCTAGTTTGGAAAGTTAAATTCAATAAAACTGGTCTGAAGATGCCATGAATCTGTTATAAAGTGAGGTGGATATGGAATCAAACATTAATTCTGGGCTGGGTTACAGAAAGTAGAGTGAGTGTAAACAAAAGAGGCACTCTTACAACAAAGTCAGGGATTTGTTCTGTCTGAGGGGGCAGTCACAACTGGAGGAGAAAAACCATAAGAAAAGAAACACGTTTGTGTGGTGAAACTTAAATACATTATTATGTGTACAATATGAAGTGCAAATTACAGTTTTAGAAACAAAACTATAATCACAAAGAAAGGAAAAGAGAGGAGCAAACACTGATCAAACTCTTCAAAAAAATTTTTTATCGTTGGCTCCATTAAACTGTGTTGGTGATTCTGGTAGCAGATTATATGAAATAGTCTAGTACTACAATCTAATCTTCTGGTGAAAAGTAAAATTTGTGAGTAAAAGTTAGACTTTCTGTCAAAAATCTCATCGTCATGCATGTCTTTTAAGTCCAACAAGATAGATAGATAGATAGATAGATAGATAGATAGATAGATAGATAGATAGATAGATAGATAGATAGATAGATAGATAGATAGATAG